GGGTTTTAAGTCTTATATATGCATTGTTCCTGCAGTCTAGTATCTTTGTATTTTTCTATCAAAGTCAATAATTTTGAACCCATTTTTTAGTTATTCATTGCTCTTTACCCATTTTGACCAAAGCAAGATGAACCAAGTTTTCCGGAACAAAATTCTGTTTATTCGAGTGTTTCCAGAATGCTTCTTGTGCTATTTTAAATACTGTTACATTGAAAAAAAAAAGGGACCAAGAAAAAAGCCTTCAATCAAAAGTAAAGTGATAATATTGTTTTAAATAAAGTATCTTACAAGTTTGAAATTATTCAGAATTTCTACCTTCTGTGCAAAAAATTACCTTGATTTTTTTAAATGTACTTTTATTGATTTTAGAGAGGAAGTAAGAGGGAGGGAGAGATAGAAACATCAATGATGAAAGAGAATCATTGATTGGCTGCCTCCTGCATGCCTATGGGGATCAAGCCCGCAACCTTGGGCATGTGCCCTTGACCAGAATCAAACCTGGGACCCTTCAGTCCGCAGGCTGGTATTCTATCCACTGAGCCAAACCAGTTAGGGCACCTTGATTTCTTTTAAAGTAATCAGGCCACTACTCACTTTTCTCTTCTTTTTCTCCCTCCTTCCTCCTCTCTCCCTTTCTTTTACTTCCTGACCAATTTTATTTTATCTAAACTTTTTACAAAAAATCTGGACAACACAGAATATTATAAAGAAGCATAAGTTATATTACCAATAAACCCCAATACCAGGAAAGAACCATTATTATCAGTTGCCGTATTTCCTTCAATCTCATGATTATGTTAAGAGTATTTGTATTCTTTGTTTTATTTGTACCCATTTATCACTCTACTTACCTAAGAAAGCATGCCATAAATATAGATGTGGCCCACTACCTGGAATTCCCTGACCTATTCCCCGTCCTCCACCCACTGAACCTCTGAATCTCTCTATTCTTTTATCAGAATCAGGACTTGGATGAGAGGACCTACTACCTCTTCCCGTCTGTTTCTGCCTCTGCCTTGATCAACCATAATAACAGCTTGGCTCTATTTTGGACCTTTTATCATGGCTGTAGAACAAAATTTACATAGTCTACTTAGATAAATTCCAGCGGCCTTGTCAGGCTGTAATTTGTTTGCATTCAGAAAAGTACCAAAATAAAGATTTTTAAACCCTCCAGCACCATAGTTCCTTCTTACACCTAAATTTTGTTAACTTTGAATTAGACGCAGACCTAATTGCCAAGATATCTTGGCAGCATGGAATCCTTTTTCTTGAACTGTCTAAAAAAGGATTTCGGTTTAGAGTTTCACAGTGTGTAGGCCAGGAATTTTTTAAACCAGGGGTCAGCAGCAAACTCTTTCTGTAAAAGGCCAGATAGTAAATATGTTAAGCTTTGTAGGCTATGTGGTCTCTGTCACAGCTATTCAACTCTGCCATTGTAGTGCAAAAAAAAGAGAAAGGACAATGTGTACATGAATGGGTATGGCTGTGTTCAAATAAAACTTTAAACAATGGCAACACATAGTTTGCCATATATTTTAAGTCATGAATCTCTAAATCATGTATGATGATATACTTGTTCATTACAGGTAGAAGTTAAGGGTTTTTACAAAAATAAAAAGCTATAAAAATATTCTGAATGATACAAAATGAATTGACCATAAATGAACATATTGACAGATTTGAATACATAAAAATTAGGACCACAAAGCATACCATCCTATATAATAAAGAGCTTATATTCTAATTAGACTGAGCAGACCGTCTGGATGACCTTCCAGACGAAGCTGGGGCTTCGAGGGCTGAGGGAGCCGGGGAGCGAGGGCTGAGCCCCTTGCACGAATTTTTTGCATCGGGCCACTAGTTAATAAAAGATGAATGACAAACTGGGGAAAAAATAGTTGCAACCTATATATGACTAGCAATTGGTGTGGTTTGTACGCACCAATAAGATGAATAACAAAACAAAAAAGGACATAAGATACAAACTCTGCGCACCATAGATATGACCACATCCTGTGTAACAAGACACCGACTTGCGCCTGGCCAATCAGCAGGGCCCACAGTCCTTTCTCCTGCCCTTACTCCAACCCCCTATAAAACCCCTCTTCCCACAGGGCTAGCTCTCTCTGTCTCGCCGCTGCGTCGTTAAGGAGGCTGGGGGAGCCAAGCCCGGGCTTGAATAAAGACTCTTATGCTTTTGCATCGGGGGGGAAAAAAAATGATACAAACTCACAAGAAAAAGTGCATAATGACTATGGTAAACAGGAAAAGATGCTCATTCTTACTAATAGTAAAATCTGTATTAAAGGGAAATTTTTTGCCTAAGTTTATAAATGTGAATAATCAGTAATACTTATAATACTCAGTGTATCAAGGAACATGGGGAAATAAACTGGAGAATTACCCCACCACCTAGCAGCCAAAAACAACAAACATTTATTATTTCACAATTTTTGTGGGTCAGGAATCCAGGCATGGCTTAGCTAGGATGGTTTGGCTCAGCATTCTCGTTAGGTTGTAGTTGAGTTGTCTGCCAGGGCTACAGTCACTGGGGCTGGACAGTGTACTATCAAGATGATGCACGTGAGTATTGGCAGACCCCAGTTCCTTTCTGCCTGCTGGCCAGAGACATCAGGTCCTCTCCACATGGGCCTCGCCATTGGCTCCCTGAATGTCCTTACAGCATGGCAGCTAGTTTCTCCTGAGCCAGTGATCCAAGAGACAGGCAACCAAGACAGACTCCACCGTGTATTCTATAATCTAATATTGGAAGTCACGTACCGTCACAGACTGATTCTGGTACAGCAGGGGGAGGGACTACACAACAGGATGAATAGTAGGAGACAGGGACCCTTGGGAACCACTTTGGAGGCTTACTACCATATTGCTTGTATTGGGACTAAATAATGCTGAGGGCTTTATTTCTGTTCAGCTGGGTTCTGCAGTTGTCTCATTGTGTGTCTTGCATCTAGAATAGCTTTTCTTCTCAAATGTCTGGCACCTGGATGAGTTTGGCAGGAGCACCTCGGGGTTGGCTGGGCATCTTTCACTCTACCTGGCTAGCTTGGTCTTCTTTACAACATTGTGGTCTCAGGTTAGTCATACTTACGTGGCAGCTGGTTCCCCCAGAGCCAGCATCAAGGAGATCTGGTTAAGAACTGAAAAGCTTCTTATGACCTAGCCTTGAACTGTTTCCATTTTGTGATGCCAAAATGTGTCCCAGGACCAGCCCAGATCAAGAGCATGATTACCAGGAGGTGGGACTTCCTGTGAAGGACCATCTTTAGAACCTATTCCAAGAAGTTATGAGTAAGAGAGATTATGCTGGCTTGTTCTAAAGTGGTAGTAGTAAAAGTAAACAAATTGATTTGATTCTGGATATATTTTGAAGATAAAATTGACAGAATTTGCCTTTGGACTGGATATATAGTATGTGGGAGAAATAGAGAAGTCAAAGATGAATCTTAGATTTTAGAGCTAAGCAATTTGAAGAATGATGATGCCATTTACTCCAATGGGAAAGACATAAGGGCAACAGGTTTGGAGTGGGAAATCAGGACTGGGCATCTGTATAAGAGAATGCATATGATCTTATAGCCCTTAAGGAGAAATCTAAATATGTGATGATGTAGAAATACTACCTATGGTATTAATTTTAAGGTACAATAAATAAAGTATGATTTATATTATGGAGAAAGAAATATATTTATTAATATGTGCATTATTGTTATTCCACATAATTCTAACCAGTTCTAACCTATTTTTCTAGGGCTATATCGAGTTTAGATTTTATTCTATAGGAACAGTTTAGATTTTATTTCATAGTCAGAGGGAACTTTTTGAAGGTTTTTGATCAGCAGAGTGATATGATCATAATTATGCTTGGGAAGATAAATTTCAAAGTGTAAAGAATGAAAGAACAGTGGGAGAATAGGAACTGTAGTCAATAATATTATAATAACTATGTCTGGTGTCATGTGGGTATTGTAAAGTATATGATTTTCTAACTACTATGCTGCATATATGAAACTAATAGAAAATAGTATTGAATGTAAACTGTAATTGAAAAAAAATTTTTTTTAAGAAAGGAAGAACAGTGGAAGAGCCAGGGAGTGAATTCTATGATAGCATACCAAGTTACATTTATATTCTTTGAATGAAGTATATGAAAGTCAAAGACAATGTTGCTATTTTTTTGTTTTTGTTTGTTTGTTTTATTCATTGCTTCTAGCCTAGAACAAGCCATGTAAGAAGGTTTTGGTAAATGATAAATGAATGAATACATGCATCATCACCAGTTCAGGCTGAACTAGTACAATATCTCAATTATAAATATTTTTTTCATTTGTTTTAATTATATGACAGAAGTAACAGAAAATGGGATTTAGCATTAATAGGTAGTAGACCTATGGAGATCTGATTTTGTCAGTACACTAAAGCATATCAAATATCATCCTATTTCCTTTTATGCTATATGTGACTTAGAGTTTACAAAAATTAGGGTTATTTTAAATTCAACTCCTGCCTGCTTGTAGGGCTCTACTTTTAGGGCTCCATTTTCTCAATAACAAAAAATCCTTTGAATGGTAAAGAAAATTTCTGAACATAGATGGGAATTGTTCAAAAAGATTAAAACTTCCAAATAGGAATTTCAAAAGAGATTTTTCAGAGGAAGGTAGTCAGATTGTCGCTGGGCTAAATATCATACTTATTCTCCAAAAGAGATAAATTTTGAGTTTTGTTTCAATAAAATGACACAAAGATAAAAGACAAATGACAAACTGGAAAAAAAGACATAAAATAATTTAATGATGACTTTTTAAGGAAGAGTTTTTGTTTCTTTGGATTTTTATTTTGGTCAAATAATTTCTATTTTTTAAAAATATATAAATATCAAATGTATTGGGTCTGCAAGTTTCAATGAAGAGGCAAAAGTTTATTACTGTTGATTTCATGATATATTTAGATATTTGCTAAAAAATATTTGTTTATTTCAGGGGCTACACTAAGTATGAGACCGGCCCCCATTCCAATAGAAGACCCAGAATGGAGACAAACGCCTCCCCCAGTCTCTGCTACATCAGGCACCTTCAGATTACGGCGAGGGAGTCGATTTACCTGGAGAAAGGAGTGCCTCGCTGTCATGGAAAGGTACAGATCTCTTTTTCCTGTGAGCAGTTTTCCAAAGAGAGACACTTTAGATAGATTTGGACAATTTTCATTTCAAACAAGTGATTTGGGATTTAGGTTCTATCTCTAAAAGTATTTCGGAGTAGTATAAATGTGTATTATTGAAATAATATGTTCTCACCATTGAGAATTCATAAAACTGGAGTTAACATCTATAAATATAATTTAAGAGAGTCCTCAGTAATTTAAGAAACTTTAGAAGAAATTTTTTAAAATTTAGATTTATATATTATATTTTAGAAAATCTCTTTGCTGTTTCGTTTTCAACAAAATAATTGAATAATTATATAGGAGGCCATTGAAATTTTCGTAAAAATTTTTCCGTTATAGTTAACGTACAGTATCATGTTAGTTTTGGGTGACAACTTAGTGATGAGACATTTATATAACTTACAAAGTGATCCCCCTCACAAGGCTAGTACTCATCTGACACCACACACAGTAATTATAATATTATTGACTATTCCCTATGCTGTATTTTATATCCCTGTGACTATTTTTATAACTGCAGTTTTACTTCTTAATTTCTTCACCTTTTTCACTCATCTCCCCAACCTCCCCTGCATCTGGCAACCATCAGTTTGTTCTCTGAATCTATGGGTCTGTTTCTGTTTTGTTTATTTTGTATTTTAGATTACACATATAAGTGAAATTATATGGTATTTGTCTTTCTCTGTCTACTTATTGCACTTAACACAATACCTTTTAGGTCCATCCATGTTGTCGCAAGTGGAAAGATTTCATTCTTTTTTATGGTTAGGTAATATTCCATTGTACATATGTGCAATGAACATAGGGCTGAGTATATCTTTTTGAATTAGTACTTTGGTTTTCTTCAGATAAATACCCAAAAGTGGAAATGAACATAGGGCTGAGTATATCTTTTTGAATTAGTACTTTGGTTTTCTTTAGATAAATACCCAAAAGTGGAATTGCTGGGTCATAATGGTAGTTCTGTTTTTAATTTTTTTAGGAACCTCCATAGTGTTTTCACTAGTGGCTGCACCAATTTACAATCCTACCAACAATGCACAAGGGTTCCCTATTCTCTTTTATGTACACTTCTCAACAGCACTAGTTTGATGATTTGTTAATGATAGCTTTTGTGACTGGTGTGAGGTGATATCTCATAGTGGTTTTAATTTACATTTACCTGAAGATTAATGTTATTGAGCATCTTGTCATAAGTCTGTTGGCTATCTGTATCTTCTTCTAGTCAGTCTTTTCATTTTGTTAATGGTGTCCCTCCCTGTGCAAAAACTCTTTAGATTAGTGTAGTCCCATTTGTTTATTTTTTTTCTTTTGTTTCTCTTGCTCAAGGAGACATCCAAAAAATATTACTAAGAGTGATGTTAAAGAGTTTATTGCCTATGTTTCTTCTCGCTTCATGGTTTCAGGTCTTACATTTAATCTTTAATCCATTTTGAGTTTAAGAAAGTGTAAAGTTTCATTCTTTTGCATGTATTTATCAGTTTTTCCCAACACTACTTATTGAAGAGAATGTCTTACCCTATTGTATATTGTTGCCTTCTTTGTCATAGATATAGGCATGGGTTTATTTCTGGGCTCTCTATTCTGTTCCATTGATCCTTTTGTCTGTTTTTATGCCAGTACCATGCTGTTTTGATTATTATAACCTTGTAGTATAATTTGATATCAGGTAATGTGATACCTTTAATCTTGTCTTAATTTCTCAAGATTGCTTTTTGGGGTCTTTGTGGTTTCATATACATTTTTGGATTATTTGTTTTAGTTCTGTGAAAAATGCTATTGGTATTTTTTGTTGTTGTTAATCTTCACCTGGTCATATTTTTCCATTGATTTTTAGAGAGAGAGTGGAAGGGATAGAGAGAGAGACAGAGAGAGAAAAACATCGAAGTGAGAGAGAGACACATCAGTTGGTTGCCTTTGCACATGCCCAACCAGGACCGGGGATTAAGCCTGAAACCGAGGTACATGCCCTTGACTGGAATTGAACCTGGGACCCTTCAGTCTGCAGGCTGACGTTCTTTCCACTGACCCAAACCACCTAGGGTGTCATTGGTATTTTGATAGGGATTGCATTGAGTCTGTAGATTGGTTTGGTAGGATGGACATTTTAACAATATTAATTCTTCCAATCTGTCCATTTATTTGTATCTTCTTTAAGTTCTTTCTTCTGTGTCTTATACCTTTTCAAGTACAAGTCTTTTATCTCCTTGGTTAAATTTATTCCCAGGTATTTTATTCTTTTTGATGCAGTTATAAATGAGATTGTTTTCTTAATTTCTCTTTCTGGATAGTTTGTTACTGGTATACAAAAATGCAACCAATTTCTGAATGTTAATGTGTCCTGCTGCTTTACGTAATTTATCAGTTTAATAGTTTTTTGATAGAATCTTTAGGGTTCTCTATATGTAGTGTCATGTAGTCTGCAAATAATGACAGTTTGACTTATTCCTTTCCAATTTGGATGTTTGTTTGTTTTTTCCCTTTTTTTTGGTCTGACTGCTGTGGCTAAGAATTCCAACACTATATATACTATGTTGAATAAATGTGTTGAAAGTGGACATGCTTCTATTGTTCCTGATCTTAAGCAAAAATCTTTCAGCTTTACACTGTTGAGTATGATGTTAGCTGTGTATTTGTCATACGTGGCCTTTGTTAGGTTGAGGTATGGTTCCTCTGTCCCCACTTTGCTAAGAGTTTTTAATCATAAATGGATTTTGGAATTTGTCAAATGCTTTTTTGTACCTATTGATATGATCATATGACTTTATCTTTCATTTTGTTTACATAGTGTTTCACGTTAATTGATTTGTGGATATAAAACTAACCTTGCATCCTGGGAATAAATCCCACTTAATCACAGTATATGATCTTTTTTTTTTTTTACGTTTTAAATATTTTTTTTTCCAATTATAGTTGACATACAATATGCATTTTAAAGTTAGATAGTAAGGTTGCTGAATATAAGGTCAGTATACAAAAATCAAATATAATAGCAATGAAAAGAATATGAATTTTTTTATTGTTTAAAGTATTACAAATAGTAGTATATATGTCTCCTTTTTCCCCCATTGACCTCTCCTCGGCCTCCCCTACCCCCGGCACATGCCCTCCCTCCCTCCCCCCCCCATGTGTGTGTCCATTGGTTATGCTTATATGCATGCATACAAGTCCTTCGGTTGATCTCTTACCCCACCCCCACCAACATTCCCCTGCCTTCCCAATGTAGTTTTACAGTCTGTTCGATGCTTCTTTGACTCTGTATCTATTTCTGTTCATCAGTTTATGATGTTCATTATATTCCACAAATGATATTTATCTTTCTTTGACTGGCTTATTTCGCTTAGCATAATGCTCTCCAGTTCTGTCCATGCTGCTGCAAATGGTAAGAATTCCTTCTTTTTTACAGCAGCGTAGTATTCCATTGTGTAGATGTACCACAGTTTTCTAATCCACTCATCTGCTGATGGGCATTTAGGCTGTTTCCAAATATTAGCTATTATAAATTGTGCTGCTATGAACATAGGGATGCATATATCCTTTCTGATTGGTGTTTCTGTTTTCTTGGGATATATATACCTGGAAGTAGTAAATGGCAGTTCCATTTTTATTTTTTTGAGGAAACGCCATACTGTTTTCCACGGTGGCTGCACCAGTCTGCATTCCCACCAGCAGTGCAAGAGGGTTCCTTTTTCTCCATATCCTTGCCAGCACTTCTCGTTTGTTGATTTGTTGATGATAGCCATTCTGACAGGTGTGAGATGGTAACTCATTGTTGTTTTGATTTGCATCTCTCCGATGATTAGTGACTTTGAGCATGTTTTCATATGTCTCTTGGCCTTCCTTATGTCCTCTTTCGAAAAGTATCTATTTAAGTCTGTTGCCCATTTTTTGATTGGGTTGTTTATCTTCCTTTTGTTAAGTTGTATGAGTTCCCTGTAAATGTTGGAGATTAAACCCTTATCAGAGATAACATTGGCAAATATGTTCTCCCATGCAGTGGGCTTTCTTGTTGTTTTGTTGAAGGTTTCTTTTGCTGTGCAGAAGCTTTTTATTTTTATGTAGTCCCATTTGTTTATTTTCTCCTTAGTTTCCATTGCCCTAGGGGTTGTGTTGGTAAAGATATTGCTACGACAAATGTCTGCTATTTTGCTGCCTATGGCTTCTTCTAAGATTTTTATGGTTTCCCATCTTATGTTTAAGTCCTTTATCCATTTTGAGTTTATTTTTGTGTATGGTGTAATTTGGTGGTCTAGTTTCATCTTTTTGCATGTATCTGTCCAATTTTCCCAACACCATTTATTGAAGAGACTGTCTTGACTCCATTGTATGCTCTTGCCTCCTTTGTCAAATATTAATTGAGCATAATGGCTTGTGTCGATATCTGGGTTCTCTGTTCTTTTCCACTGGTCTATATGTCTGTTCTTGTGCTAGTACCAGACAGTTTTGAGAACAGTGGCTTTGTAGTATAGCTTGATATCTGGTATTGTGATCCCTCCAACATTGTTCTTCTTTCTCAAGATTGCTGCAGCTATTCGGGGTCTTTTTTTATTCCAGATGAATTTTTGGAGAATTTTTGTTCTAGGTCTTTGAAGTATGCTGTTGTTATTTGAATGGGGATTGCATTGAATTTATAGATTGCTTTGGGTAGTATGGACATTTTAATGATGTTGATTCTACCAATCCATGAACATGGTATATTCTTCCATCTGTTTATGTCTTCCTCTATCTCTTTTTTCAGCATTCTGAAATTTTCTGAGTACAGATCCTTTATCTCCTTGGTTAAGTTTATTCCTAGGTATCTTAATTTTTTTGTTGCAATGGTAAATGGAATTGCTTTTTAAATTTCTCTTTCTGTGAATTCATTATTGGTGTGTAGAAAAGCCATAGACTTCTGGGTGTTAATTTTGAATCCTGCTACATTGCCAAATTCATTTACTAAGTCTAGTAGTTTTTTGATTGAGTCTTTAGGG